TGTGGACCGCGGGAAAAAGCCGCTAGCTAACCGGCTAACGGTTAGTGGGCAACATTTAGTGAGGACACAACAGTTTAGCTCAGCAAGTAGTATAAACGACTAGTGAGAAGACCAGACTGTGATGTGACGACGATAGACATACGAGTGCTTTGGCAATAAGTTTAATGATTAAATCCGATTGTTCAGTTCCGAATTAACGTTACTCAATGGGGAGCAACTCATATGTACTGCGTCCTCCCCTAAAGTAACGCGAATCATTTTTTCGTCTTTTTACAGCAAAGTCATGCTAATAAATACTGATTTTGGCCTGATAAAACAGCGTGTTTTGTTATAAAAGAACGCGTTTCACTTGCTCGGAATCGGCGACATTACAAATTATCGGCGCCAACGAGTAATGCTTATCTCGTCTTGTCCACAACTTGAAACACCATGCATCTAATTATGTTTACTAAGTTTTATAGCCCCTTATGCATTTAATCCTACGGTAAAGCTCTTTAAAAAAGTGGAGACGGCGGCAATTCAAACTTTCGATACACTTTCTACATGTATGACATACTCTATTGCACAGAAATACACCGAGTAAAATTCTTGTAAGCCATCTTAACATTAAATAAGGTAATATTTGCATTCCCGACAAGATACGCAGCAACATGTTAAATAGGAGTTGTTACTTACATTCAAAGTGGCATCTCATTAATGGCGGGTGACGGTCACAGCTCACAGCTCACAGCAGCAGGTTGACGTCCGTTGGCGGTCCTGACGCATGCGCACATTGATGTGTAATGCCCAGGATTATTGGGTACTTTTTATGTGTTTTCTAAACGCTGTAGTTATTACTGTTACCAAAAGGGTAGCGAAAGTGCAATTTACCCATAATAATACGTTTTACATGCAAACTAATATACATAAGTAATTTTTAAATGATTTATATGTATCATAATTACGAACCTCAAAAATCCTTTTTTACAGTGTACTTGTTAAATTTTCATTCTTCTCATATTTAATTCTATAAAATCAAAAAAGACAATGAATAAAATATCAGCATTATGATTACTTGCCAGGCTAACCAACAGCTCTGCATCAGTTATATTTAATTCCATCTTATAGAAATCCTGCACTAGACACTGGATAGTTCACACTGCAGCTCATTGTCTGGCCCACAGCTTTACTGCTCTGTGTCATTCTCATTCCTCTGATCATTTTCAGACACAGCAGGCAGTTGTTTTCAGTAAAATGCTCTTAATCGCCACTGTTAAATACAGTACCTGCTCAACACCAATGGGTAGACACACAAAGTTACTGACTAGAAATAGTTCCCTTAAGATTTGGAACAGGAACAGTTTGACCTTTTGGGAAATCCTTAGAAGAGTTAAATGAGCAGACTGATAACACTTATATCTGGCTGTTATATATGAAGCCAGAGCCAGTAGCCGGTTAACTAAGCCAAGATGGAGACAGCTAGCCTGGCACTGTGCAGAGACAACCAAATTGGCCTCTCGGTTAACTAACACATTGTATCTCGTTTAATCTCTACATTAAGCAAGTGTAAAAATGAGGAGTTGTGGTTTTGTGAGGCATTATGTGTTGGACTGTTTCTTGGCTGAGCGCAGTGAGTTGTTGTTACTGTGCCATGAGGTTGCCAGCTAAGCACTGAAGGAGGCTGCAAAATGTCAGACTATTTATTTAGGAGCTGAAAGAGTTTTAAGACACAGTTTTTATAAATTGCCCATAAGTGTATGTCTCAGCCCTGTTATAGACTGGCCACCTGTCCTGAGTGTACTCTGCCTCGCCACCCTTCATGTAATGACTATTTTTCTAATATATTCATATTTTGAGAAGGCGAATATGAAGCAGCTTGTCTTCTCAACTGTAATCCATGCTTTCTGTTGTCTGGGGAGCCATGATTTCCTGTTTTCCTTTTATCTCTCGACCTACAGGACATTAATGTTCTCTGACAGGCTGATAAGGTCAACCCTCGGCCTGTGTGATTGCTTCACTCTAGAGGATTGTGGGGGAGATGGACATAACCTTTTCCCCCTTTACCCATTTGACACTCAGTGTGTGGTAGTGAGCAGCTAGTTGGCGTTCCTACACCTGTAACCATGCTAAGAGAACATGAGAATGCTACATAGGAAATAGTTCACATTAGAGGCGACAAAGCAGTGAAGGTCATAGAAGATATAATATAAGCATCATGATGTATCTGATTTGTTCTTGTTTCATTTTAATTACATTTTTAAACTGGCATTTATTCTGATACACAGAAACAAGGAAGGCTATCAACCACTTCAGAATAAAGACTGACAAAATGTAATTCTTTTCCTCTTAAACACAACAAATTGTCAAATGGCTTCACTCACCCATATTAGATAGAATAGTGCTTGGTGTTGTGTGTCGTCTAATAAAATCAACATGCCAAAATAAATTATTTTTAAAAAGATGCCGAGTACAGATGATATCCTCTCAATATTACAAGAGTTAGATCCTTATACCAAATAGAATTTTTAAAAAGTACTACTACATTCCTTATGGCGTACAGTATCAGTGTATTTAAATGACTCCATTCATTCACATAAAGATGAATATCACTAAATCATCACTTGCACCATGTAGATACACTCCAATTTGGCACAACCCTGATTTCCAACTGCATAATAACTCTATCTATTTCCCAACATGGCAACACAAAGGAATCAGTCACTTACATCACCTATATGAAAATAAGCAGTTCATATCATTTAATACACTGATCCAGAAGTATGGAGTTCAGAGAGAACAGTTCCTCCACTACAATCAACTAAAATCCATAATTAAATCAAAGATTAGTGTAACCAATAACCCACTACAACCCTCCAAATTAATTGAAGAAATTATAATATAATAACATCCAAGCTATATAAACTCATATCAAATACAGATCCAACAATAACAATACCAAAACTCAAATGGGAAAACAATTTAACTCTCTCCCTCAGCTCCGACTTCTGGACAGAAATTTGCAATAACATCTTTTCTATGACCAGCAATGTAAACTTTCAGCTTATACAATACAAGACCATTTATAGGACCCATATTACAGAAAGTAAAATGTTCAAAATAGGTTTCACTGACAATGACATCTGCTCACAATGCATTCTATGTTGCACCGACAATTATTTTCATGCTACTTGGACCTGTCAACCAGTTCATTCCCTCTAGACAGCAGTGACAGAGAAACTCTCCACCATCTTGGGCTGTAGAATCCCTCCTCTTCCATCACTTTGCTTGCTTGGTAAAATCATAGAAATCAACCACCTACCAATTAAATACAAAAACCCACTCCTCATTTCTCTAGCTATTGCCAAAAAAAACAACAATCTTTCAAAACTGGAAAAAACCAATACACATAAACCACTGGACCAACCTTTGAATCTTCTGATAGTTTATCAGCTTTTTATGACACATGGAACCCATTTCTAACATATTTCAGCATGAACCAAACACCTGAGGGCTGAGGCCACGCACATTCCCACCAACCTCTAAAAATGTAACAAGCTGATTTTATTAGTAGTAGTAGCATCATTATTATTGGGAATTTTTATTTATTTATTTACTTTTTTCCCTCCTTCCTTTCTTGTGTTTCATAGACTGCATAAGTTGGAAATACCCACACTTCACACCCTCACACACTACAATAAAAAAAGCTCTCAATAGTTGACCCACAAATCCACGTATACACACAGACCTGTAGCACAGCTCAGTTCCCATCTGATAACACCTCTGTTACAGACCGTTCTCCACAGCTAAAGCTATTTTGTTTTCATGTTTGATTTCATCCATCAAGATAGTCAGGGAGTTCATTTTCTGTGACTGCTTTAAGATTTTCTCACGAATGTGCTTGAATGTGTAAGCTCCTAAACATATTTCCATGAGATGTTCTTTTCAAAAGCAGGGATTTACTTGCAGCCACTGCCCAGAATTTAAAATACTGGTTAAATATACTCCTCCTTTTCTCTGATATCGTAATAATCTTTTAAGCTCGTTTATTCACTCATGATCACACTACCCCAATCCTTTGCGCCTGCTGTGAATGGAAGCGTGTCTGACGGAAGTCTCTGTCTCCCCCTCCCTCTCTTGATAAGTGAAATCACAGAAACAGCAGAACGGAGCTGGCACAAAGTTGAATGGAGCCGCTGCAACACACTCTACTCAGCACCACGGACAGCGAACGATCGGAAGGTCGGACACAAGAGATCCATCGATACTGGAAATTTATTTGAGAAGGACTGAGTTTACAATGGGGATTTTGGCTTGGGGAGCTACACATTTTAAATTGATCACACAGAGATTTTGGCTTTTGTACTGCTCCCCAAAGTAAGTCTGATCTCGTCTTGATCTCATTAATATGATTTCATTAGCGTAGTGTAGAGTTAAGATAGGCTGGCACCCGTACAGTCATAACCTACATATACATTATAGTATGCGTTCATAGCAGATATAAGCCTGTAATCAAGCAGATCTCCCGTGCGTAAAAGCTGTGGCGCTCTTCCAATCGACACTCCAGCTTGACGCACGGCACGCCATACAGTATGACCCCAAAACCCAAAGACACTGGAGAGATGACAACAACAATGCATCATTCATGGCACTGCGGCTTGTAGTGCGTAATTACAGACACGAATACTTGTGAAAACGGCGTTTATGTTACAATATAGGATATATTTGAGTACACTTTCCTCGTTGGAGTTGGTTCACGGAGCACGGTGCGCAAGAAGAAGAGCGCCGGTAGGTGAGCTCGCCTCTTTGTTTTAGCTGTGCCCAGAGCCTACGCGCACATGTAACAGCTTACTATGAGTTTAGAAGTAGTTGAGACGGATGAAACCACGTCGTTTTTAACTGATATAAGTTATAGTAAATGTGGTGCTGCTGACTCGCCATCTCTTGTTGTGTTCTAAAGTAGGCCTGTGGAAAGTAGCATGAAAGAAGTACAGATTTTCTTCTAAATCGATAAAAACGGGAGGAAACAAATTAAAAATCTGGACTGTCTGGCGCCATCGTCTTGTCTAAAAACCATAATGGAGCCCATAAACCAGACCCACTTTCATCCTATTTCATCAGACCCGAACACCTCGTCTGCAGCCTCGCCCTCACCCTTCTTCTTCTCTTACCCCCGCCTCTTCAACACCTCCTTCAACCTATCCACCCAGAGTGTCCCCTTTCAGGGCAGCAGTACTCTGATGACCGCAATCATCTCCCTTACAGTCTTCATGGTGGGTCTGACCGGGAACACTCTGGCCATCTACGTGGTGCTGCGTTATGCCAAAATGAAGACAGTCACCAACATCTACATCATGAACCTGGCTGTGGCCGATGAGCTCTACATAATCGGGCTCCCCTTCCTTACCACACAGAACGTGCTCTCCTATTGGCCTTTTGGCTCCTTTCTCTGCCGCCTGGTCATGACTGCAGACTCTATGAACCAGTTCACGTCTATTTTCTGCCTGACGGTTATGTCCATCGATCGCTACCTGGCTGTGGTTCACCCAATCCGCAGCACCAGGTGGAGACATCCCCGTGTGGCCAGGGTGGTGAGCGCAGCCGTGTGGGGCGTGTCCTTTGTGGTGGTCCTGCCCGTGGTCATCTTCTCTGATGTCCAGGTATGAACACCAGTCCTGTATTAGCTCATTATACCTGATAAAAATTTATTTTCTACTCATTCACAGCCAAACCTTCATATACAGGAAGACTAAACCTATTATTAAGGCAATTATTAAAATAGCCAATGCTACTGGTAGTTCTACATTTTCATTTGTTTACTACACATGTATTACTTTCCTACTAAGCAAATAATTTATTTAATATAGCCCAGATTGAACACTTTTAACCATCTGACTTATTAAGATGAAACATAGCTGTGTTCTATGAGTGGAAGCAGGATGAGGGCTGTAGAAACGAACCATTAGACCCAATTTTCAAAAATTACAAAAAGGGTACAATGAAGGGTCAGAGGAGAGTCAGATTGATGTTTCATTGTGGTGCATATAAAGGCCTACTGCAGTGCAGGAAATGAGAAAAACATGGTCACCCCTGGAACGTATATGTGTGTATGCACCTGCCATGTGGTTCAGGTGCCCTTAGCTATCCCACCTAATGCTTTTAGCAACTAATGTTACATCATGGCCAAAGCATGTTAGAACTGGTTTTAAAACTTAATTTTAACAAATTTTACATTTCACATTGATAAATCATTACAACTTGTAATGTGAACAAGGCCACTTGTAGTGACAGCTCATTGCTTTGGTTTTTTAGCCCACAGTTATATTATCTTTGTGTAGTCGCACCCACTCTAAAACCTATTTTCCATCAGAAGTGGGATAAAGGCCTCTGCCACAAATAATTGGTTAAATTCACCACTGAAAAATAACTTGGATGGGTTTATGCACACAAGAACCTGGTCAGGGATTAGTGAACAATCATGGTTTGGGCTGAAATACAGTAAGTAATTTATTTATGTTATAGGTCATTTGTCATTATGGCTACAATCAGTTCGATTAGCTAGTGAACATAGTGGAGTGGTTAAGAAAACAGAACAATCATGTTGACTCTCAGAGACAGGAAGCAAAAGTTGCCTCTCATTTTAAAGTACAATGTTTTGCTCCATGGTTTCTACATAACAGTATCACCTGATTTCCTCTTTTGCTCCTGTCATAATTACATCATGTTACTTGAATCTAAATGTAATTAGGGGGCATTTGGTGAAATGACTGATACTGTCCCACATGACTGCTAGATGTCGCTCAACAATAAAACAGAACTCTGGGTTGTAATAAGCTGCTCGTGCAAACGACCTGTGGGGCGGATTATATGAGAACACAATTTACAAAATGGTGTCCCAGAAGCCAGTCTTGCTCCATTTCTGCTGGATCTGTAAATAAGCACGTTTTGCAATACCAATGTTATAAGATCATTACAAGGTTTGTCAGTGTTTTCTATACAGGATGTAGCAATAGAATAAAATAAAATAGGTTTAGAACTTTAGAGGTACAGTATTTGCTGCATGGAAAGAATTTTTTCCTTCTCAGTATTAAGAGCTGTGGTGGAAAGAAGAGGCAAGTTGTTGCTAAACATGCAAAATGAAGTATAAAAATGGAAATGCTTTGCACAGAAATGTGCAGAGAAACGTTGCTGCAAGTTCTATAACAGTGAGGAAATAGAAAAGCTTTTGAATAAAAGAAAGCTCAGAAAGCTGAAAAACTTTGGTTTGACAAAACAGGAAGAAATTGTGTCAGGTAAAAAAAGGTACTTGTTGGTCTGAACTATAATTTGCTTGCACACAAACTAAATGCAGTAATGTGTGTAAATGTCTTCCTTTCTTCTAATGTCATTTACATTTCTCCAAACATCCTTTGCTACATTGCTTACCTCCTGTATTTGATTCACTGTCTGTCTGAGCAAATAATGACATTTCTATATTTGTTTAAATGTCTTAAATATTTAAGTGTTACTAAGCTTATTTAATTTCTCTTAGGACACATTTAACTCCTGCAACATGAACTGGCCAGAGCCAAAGCATGTGTGGTCAACAGCCTTCATTCTCTATACTGCCACAGTGGGTTTCTTTGGACCGCTGCTCATCATTTGCCTCTGCTACCTACTTATCGTTATCAAGGTTTGTAAAGTCCAGTTTCCAACCAAAGTACTTTCCCCAGTGAACATATACCCTTTGCTGAGCTTTGTTCCTTTATCTTCATATCCACTGGCGGAACCAGGGTCTTCATTTAGATCCCGGGTGTCATTTTTTTCAGTTTTCATCATTGTTATCACTGTCACATTCACCCTCCACACCATCTTCCAAATTAAACTATCTTTAGTGTTTATCTGGAAGGTCAAGTCCTCGGGAGCTCGGGTGGGCTTCACTAAGCGTCGGCGCTCAGAGCGCAAGGTGACGCGAATGGTGGTGGTGATTGTGGTGGTGTTTGTGCTCTGCTGGCTGCCATTCTTCATCATCAACATGGTCAACCTGGTGGTCATCATTCCAGAGTCCAGCATCACTGCTGGCATCTACTTCTTTGCTGTCATCCTGTCCTACGTCAACTCCTGTGCTAACCCAGTCCTCTATGGTTTCCTGTCAGACAACTTCAAGCAGAGCTTCAGAAAAGTAGGCAAAATATCTTCTGGGTATTAAACTGTGTACAGGCCAGGCTTAAAGAAATAATCTGACATGTTAGAAAATACAACTATTTCCTTTCTTGCTAAAATGTTCAGTGCTACTTTTTGTGTGGTAAATATGTAGCTGGAGCTGGCAATTAACTGGCAGTTAGTTTAGCTTAGTATAGAGCGGAATTGGCTCTGCCCAAAGGAAATAAATGTGCCCAGGAGTACCTCCAAATACTAATTGATCTTGATTATTTGATCCATACAAAATCTGAAGTGTAAAGATTTTAGCCTGTTTTGTTTTTAATGTGTTTCTTAAGACACCAAACAAAGAGTACAAAGCAGTATTAAGCAGTAAAATTACTGCTGAGTAGACCTGCTATGTAATGGATTGTAGCTTTTAGGCCAAGTTCACTGTTTAAAGAACATTTAAACTAAACACAAATAAGGAAACGAAGCAAATACTGTTGTTTCATGATTATTCTGTATAAGTACTTGAACACTTGCTCTCAAAAACAGTGCAGTTGTTGTTTCCTGAAGTTTTCTGATGTAGCTTCAGAATCTTCACAGATTGAGTTTGTGGTCCTGCAGGTGCTCTCTGTGAGGAGTATGAAGTGTAAGTCCAACGGTGTCGATGATGGTGATCCCAGCGCCCCGCGCACAGAGAAGACCACAGCACACGACTGCATTTTGCTCTCCCCTCATAACCAGGTTTACCTTGATCCCCAGAGCAGCCAGGTACTCTGTCTGTGTGTGGTTTTTTGTTTTGTTGTGTGTGTAGACAATGGGGACTGGGGCAAAAATAAAGAAAAAAAAGGAAATTTAAGCAACAAGGAAAAGCTAAAAATGCCACCATCTATGCATGTGTGTGGAGAACTGAGTCAAATAGGGACATGCCTCATTTTTGATGTGCTAATATTTTAAGGACAATAGGCAGCTGAGCGATCCTAAGGCTCCCTTCAATAACACACACACACACAGAAGCATACAGACGAACACATCACCAGTGAGTCTGATGCATTGGTTTTGACAGTTCTCTTATGTTAAAAAAAGGTAGGCGTGTGGGAGAGCAGCTAAGTGAGGAAGGATGGTAAATTAATGCTGCTGTGGAGGCAGTGATTAGGAAATAAATCTGATGGCAGGAGTTAAAGGTTATGAGATTAATCTTACTGAATGTGTGAGTGAGAGAGTCTGAGAGAACAAGGTGGTCAGGGAATGATAGAGCTTTGACACAGTCTGTGCTTCATAGTGTCCAATTAGATACAATAACTTGTACAAGGGCAATGCGGAGCATTAGACTGACAGAGTGCCTCTGATGAGATTCTCCTAAAGCTCCATAAGCTGGTTCAAGGTTATCAAAACAACTTCCCAAATAAGTCTCAGAGTAAGAGGATGATATGTTAGTCAACTGTTGTTCTCTGAGCCTAAGTTCAGTTTTTTAATGAATGAAGCTGCACATTTATAACAGCATTAGATTTACAAGGTGATGCTTGGGTTGGACCCCTCTCATGAGTCTGTGTCTCTTCCTCCTCTCTGAAGGTCTCTCCTCACCCTCCAGGCTCACCTACCTCTCACACTGCAGCTGACCTGCACTGCTCCACCCCTTCATGTCAGTCTCCCTCCACTATTCCAGGAACTGGACCCACCACTACCATGGTAACCTCCAAGTCGACCTCAGCTGAAGCCCCCACCATCACTGCTCTTACTACGACCACCTCCTCTGACGCCATAGCCCCGTGTGTAACCAAGAAACAGTAGCTATCTCAAGTACGGATGTCAGGTGGTTTAGAAAGTGAAAAGAGGTGAGGAGAAGAAACAGGATGTGAGACTATACGAGAGGAAGCTGAGCGTTGGATTAGTTAAAGACAAATAGCAAAACGAATCATTTTGAGCAGTTACAATGTGAAAATTCATTTTTTGCAATATTCCTGCACCTGCTCATTCTGAATGCATCACTCCATATTGGTGAAACAACCTCCTGAATATTTTTCATGTCTCAGTGCGTATATGCAGCTGTATGAATCACTCAGCTGTTTACCAAGCTCCATTTTCTTTCCATCCAGCCATCTGACACAAATGCCTTTTCAGGCGCTCTCAGCAGTCATCATGACTCTTAATGGACACAGAAATATTTACACCTGCTGTTCTCTCATTACCTGATAGCCTATTATACAACATGTAAGAATGTGTTTTCCTTTCAGAGCCAACAATGCCATCAAGGATATAATTAAAGCCAGGGAGGAAGATTTCCTGGGAGCCAATTATCACGTTTGTTTGGGTAAGCTGAGCATTGCAGGGTTCTTTACTGCAACAAATGTGATTCAGGCTGGAAGACAAAAGTATTTTGAAATACAAAACTACAGTTTTGTTTTATTTTTCTGTAATAAAGTAAACTTCCACTCACATGTTGAAATTGGAATGAAAGAAATTGACATCTGTACAACTTTGTGGAAAAAGTCTGCTGTAATCCTTTTTGTATACTGTTTGTATTTTCCGAAAATAGCTTACTTGCTCATTAGTGTCTTTCTGCAAACATGTAGCCAGCCACAAAACCTCTAACCTCTTTGCCTCTGATTTTGCATATTTGGACATTTTTGCATCATGTATGCAATAACGTTTTGTGGCTGTTGTACATATATGTACTGTATGAAAATGCTGTTTTTCTCTGCAGAAGCTGTGGTACTGCTAGGTTAAGGGTTTATAATAGCATATATTGTTGTTTATTGTACAATACATTATTTATGATCAGGCTGGCACACCCTCCATTAGGTTTGGCATTTGATCATACTTATGGTGCAACCTCCTTCATCCTTAAGCTTTTATTATGAAAGGTCCTGTGTTGCGTTTTGGGACAGGATGAAGATGATCTTACCACTGCCACCAAAAATACAAATTTCTGCCTTGTTGGTAGGTGCCCTTTAAAGTCTTTTAACAGGATACCTCAGACACATTTTCCTCTAACTACACTGACCAACGCAGGTAACCATAGCAACAATATTTCTGCTTTGTGCTATGCCACCATTTAACACTAACTCAGTTCAACAGAAGAGTTATTTGGACTGTAAACCAACTAAGAGAAGCCAAAAGAGAAAAACATTAAGGCTGTTTATAGTAGAAAGTTCTTTGAAACATGAAAAACAAAGACTATGTTGTATGTTTTACTAGGTTATATGTAGTTTTTTAGGGGATTTGTTACTGTAGGATTGTGGGGTATCTTTGGAAAAAAATAGTGTGATCTTTAACCAGACATTTCTGCCTGCTGTTACCACACAAACACACCATGACCTCTACAAATTGTCACCGTCAGTCTATGGAAATGCATTTTTTTAAGCAGGCACGAAGACAACTAGAGCTCTTGGTTTGCTCTGTGAGGAGTTCCTCCTCTGAGCCGTGGTCAGACGCAGCCCTCGTGCAAGGACAACATCTGGTGCATCAGTCGATAGATCTGAAATCACATCACATGTTCAACACTGACATAGCAGCTTGGTATAACTGAGATATTTTAGTATTTCTGTATTTGTTCTCAGTGCTCTTCTCACTGGTTTGAGGTGGGCAGTGCATAAGGACTGCCCTGTTGCACTGAATTGTTTTGTAGGCTCATTTTGCCTGACCTTAGGCTCTGCTTTTTATTAACAAACAAC